TAGTAACCAAACTTCTGTATCATATGTTTTGTTGTTATTTTGGATATGCTTCAGGTTTAGGTTTTGAAAAAGAGTTTCACTTTCTTACGACCACTTTGACATCATCTAAGCATATCCTACTCTCATACTTTAGATCTTTCTCTCAACATGAATAGTGGGAGCAAACTTGTCCATGAAATTGAGGCTTCAAAGGAGGTTATTGATATGTTGGAGTTATGGTTGAACAAAGCCAAGGAAGCTGGAGCTGTTAGGGATCACATGAAGGTTGTTGATCTGTCTGGTGGAACAGGCTATAAGAAGATTCTTATCAAAAATCTTAACCCTGAAAAGATAAGGAAGGTAGAGGCTATTGTGAAGAACCTAATGAATCTGAATACAATTTATTTTGAATCATATTAAGACCTTGAGAACTCCACGAATTCAATTAAGTATGAATAATAAAGACCTTGTTATGTCTCACATGTTAACATGTTGATTTAATTTTTGTTGGATTACAACGTACTGCTATTTAACCTTTGTTGGATCACATGTTAACCTTGTATGTTGATAAATTTTTATTGGATTACAATGTATTGTTATGTTATGTTAACCTTGTATGTTGATAAATTTTTATTGGATTACAATGTATTTTTATGTTATGTTAACATTTTGTTGGATTAAAATGTATTGTTAGTTTATGTTAACCTGCTGCTTTTGTCATGCTATTTTTTACGAATTTTTTCAATCAAAGGTATGCATGTTGTTGATAAATGTTGTTGCATGTTGTTGATGTTGTAGTTAGCAAGTGGTTATGGTTCTTTACTTATCACTGATGTAGCTGGTTGTGTAAATATGGATCTAAGAGCAAACTTGTGTTTGCTGTGGAAATATTACATGAGTCTTCATATAATATTCCTATAGCGAACACATGTTTTCTACTATCCCTTCTACAATTCTACTTTATCCTCTTCATAGCTCCCATGAACGGTTAGTTATCAAGTTCTCCTGATCTATGTTAATTAATTGATGTTTTTGTTGATAAATGTTAGTGAGTTTGTTATATCATATGTGATTGCTTGTTTCACTAACCCTTCATTGAACTTGCATTCATTTAAATAGATTTTTTAGATAATAAATAGAAAAATTAAATTATTATTGTAAAACAACTTAGACGATCAAATGTTTATCGAACTGCATGCATCTTGTAATTCATTATTTCCTCTTTAGCCTATAGAATTTGATTCAATGCCACAGTTTTCAAAATAATGATGATAAATAGATCTCAATCCCAGACTTTCACACATAATTTGATTTTTGCATAAAGTAAAAAAAAAAGGGAATCAAATTTCGTGTGAAAAACTTATAAAACATCCATTCATTATCTTTACTTTAAAGAATTTGGGATTGAATCAAATTATATATAGGTTAATGAGAAAATCACGAAGTACAAGATATATGCAATTCGATAAACATTGGACTGTTTAAGTTGTTTTTCAAGAATAATTTAATTTTTTCGATTATTATCTCAAAAATGTATTTAAACGGTTATATATGATTAATAACTGACAGAGAAATTTATTTATCTCAAATTATATACAATTAATAGTCCTAATTAAATGTATTCATTTTAGTAGTTTTTTCTTCAATTATCGACTGATACTAACCTAAATACCAGTCCCCATTAGCGGCTCCCATCAAACTCTTTAGACTTTGTATTTACCCAAATTATAATACAATATTTCCAACTTGGAAAAATTCTTTGATGGTACTCATGTGTAATGAAACTTATTTATTGCATTACATGAATGAATAACCGAGCAATCGAATATGATGCAGGTGGTAGAAAACACCCTCCTAGGATCCTATGACAAAATTATAGAAAAACAATTACAGTAGTCTCATTCTGATAAGGTTAAGCTATGATTTAGGGCTAAAAGACAAAACAATGCAACTACTAGAAGACAAACACTCTGTGAACCTCTTATTTTTCAACCAATTAATTAAATATAAATATTAGTACTAGTACCAGACAAACATATATCAATTAGTGGCTACACAAATAAAATATTAATCAAGGTTCAATAAAATAGTATAATTTTTAACTAGTAATGTTAATTCCTCGGGTAACGTTCATCTTATCCTCCAACGTACAACAATTATATGTAGCCAAATAACTAGACTTTTTATATGCAATTTATCTAATTTTAAATATAGTTAGTGCTCATCCATGTACATTCTATGTAAAAAACAAAGTAAAAAAAAAAAAAAAACCTATGGTGCCAGTGGAGTGATAGAATGGAAGATGTGGTGGAGAGGATGAATCTATATATTACCGTTCCAACGTTTAAGTTAATAATAAAGTGAAATGTAATTAGTGAGAAAATAAATTAAATATCTAAAATTATGTGATCTAATCTTTATATAATATAAATGATTAAAACTGTTAGAGGGTAACTCTATGTCTTTTGTGAGTTGCAGTTCGATTAGATTCAACGACGAGAGATATGAAGGAGAGTGACATTGTATGTCCTTGACAAGGAAAAAGATCTACATGTCCAGTGAACATTCTCCTTTAATACTTTGTATTAGATCTTTTTCGTGGACCTTAGAGACTGCACAAAACAGTTGCCTTTAAGTCATTATTCCTACGTTATAGAGCGAAGACATTTTCATGTTCATCTTCTGTTTGACGTTTGGTATAAGAGAATAAAAGAGCATTGATGGAACCTTTATGTCTCTGGGAAGAGAGGAATGCAATGCTTCCTTGTGACTAGCAACGGTTTGCAGATATATTTCAACATGTGTTCTTACGTTTGACGGTGATTCTTTCTAGCACTAAGACATTTAAGTGTTCTTGAACAGAGCGTAATGAAATCCCGGCCATTGGTGGTCTCGTTCGTGTTTTCCACTGCTGAGGATCACATGTTTCTAATTCCTTAGGGTTATATAAGAAGTTTTAGGGTTTCCATGTTCATTTTTTTATTTCATTTGACAATCTGTAAGAGCTTTTCTCTCGCGTTGTAACATTTTTTATCTTTGTCAATCTTCTCCCATTAGCTGTTAATTGCGGTGTACTCGTGTCACCTCTTTTAGTATAGTATATGACACATGTGCCATTGAGATTTTCGTTTTTTCTGTTTTGTACTTTAGTGAACTCTCTTGTTATAAATGACTTTGATAGGACACAAAGTTTGTTTTTATATTGGCCATGTGCTTTTCTTATGATAGTTTATTTCTTGTGTTGACAATCACTGTTTATATGGACAACTCTCAATTTAGAGTCCGAAGAACGACGAAAGACAGCTCTCTTGTGTAGGCAGATCAAGACACATTAGGTATTGTTTCTGCCTTCGTTCGTGAAGGTATATTAGATCATGCCTTTAATGAAGTAGGTTCTTCATCAAAATGGGGAATGCTTCCTTTCAATGGATTAAAAGAATTTGTAGAAATTATGATGAATGTGTCATTTCTCTTTATGAATGCTTGTTTTTTATTTTATTTTTATGGATTTTCATCTTTCTTGCAATGACTTTGAAGTAGGAGTTTTAAGTCATCTTGTAACTCCATCTCCACAATTGGAACTGACAACGGAAAATCAAACTTGATTCTCATAAACAGTGCTACTGTTCCGCTCATATAATTAGAGATAAGTGATGAAATGATAGAAAATGGCTCAAATATATTGGATTAGACCTCTTGTGCACCGAATTAGACTTTATGTGTGATAGGGGTGATGTATACCTTAAAGGTTAACAATCAAATGTTCTTATATGATATTTGATTAAAAATAACGAATGAGCAAAAATAATTAATGAGTGAGAATAAAGTGAATACCTCAAATGATGCGATCTGATCTTTATATGATATGAGAAACTAAAAATGTCTATGGATAACTCAAACGTTGTGTGCTTATTATTGTTTAATTAGATTCTACTATGAGAGATGTGACATAACAAAAAAGATTCACATATTTTATGTATCTTTTTAACACTTAATATTGAATATTTAAAAATCTCGTAAACAATTCAGATACTTAAATATAAATAAATAAAATAAAAAAATTGTTTATACAACAATCTATTAAACAATTTTTTAACACATAACTTTTGATGAAAAATAACATACATATTAAATAGCATAACAACATCTTTGGAAATGTAGCAACTTGGTGATGAAAATCTAGTAGATAACACACGCCAAAATTCATGTTTTCAAACACACCCAAGTCATGTATGTCTTTATGTTTGATTGCGGTGACATTAATATTTAATAAATAATTAAATTATTAAAGATTTTAATAATTAAAAATAAACATATGTAATTAAATAGCACCGAAATTTGAATGTAAGATAACCCACTGCTTTTGAATGTAAGGTAGTATAAATATTAAATACTCTAATTAAATTAATTTAAAACTCAAAAGAAAAAAAGATTCTGAATCATTTAATTACCAACTCTTAAATGCTTTTAGCACTTAAAAAAATTCTCAAAATATCAATTAATCATAAAAAAAAGTTCAATAGGGTCCCCAATATTTGAATGAAATTTTCTCCCTCTCTCTAGGGCAGCTCTGCCCGCTGCCCGTAACATTTATAAACCTTAAAATAATCATTAAAAAAGTACTCAAAAAAGTGTCAAAAATCTCTACCCTCCCCTTAAATTAATACACTTTTTCATTTTCCTAAAGTATTAAAATTGAGTCTATAAAACCCACCACTTCATAAGCCTCAACAATCCCTTTCATGATTTTGTTTTCATAGTGTTATTAATGTCATCATTATTAACATTTTCTTATTTTGTGCTTAAGGTGTTTGATGAAAGTTCCCAGTGAAAAACATTATCATTACTTAAAAAAAACCTCTCTACAAAATTGATTATTCCAAAGCACTCTTCAATTGGATAAGCTTGTGACATAGTTAGAAGTTTCAATCTTCTTGTTATTGCAGCTTTTTTTTGTTACCAACTTTTACTAAGCTCTTTTAACCAAAACCAAGCCTTTCCCTCTTTGTTGTCTCAAAAAAATGGCCCCTTCTGGAAGAACAACAACAGGAAGAACAACAAACAAAACATCAGGGACCACAAAAACTTCAACAGGAAGAAGAACAAGAACAAGACAACCAAGAAGAACATGCTGCAAGAAGAACAAAAAACAAGAGGTGATTAACAAGGTTTTGCCTTCTAGCTGTTTGAGAAAAAGCTCAGAAGAATCTTCAAAGGAAGAAAGGGAAGAGAACAATGAAATTTCTGAGGTAATTGATGTTTCTGTTAGTAACAGTGCATGTTCAACACCAAAAGGTCAGAAATTTAGGATACCAGAGATTTCAACATGTCCTCCGGCACCAAAGAAACAAAGGGTAGTTTCAAATTGTTCTTTGAGAAGGTCACCACTTTCATTCTTTGTACCTCCTGATTTGGATAACTTTTTCTTGGTGACACTTCCTGATGTTTCTGTTTGATTATTGTTGTGTGTATGTTAATAGCAAGATACATATAAAATAATCACACTTTTGAAGATGGACTTTTGAAGTGGTTTTCATAGGAAATCAGAGGCATAAATGCTTTAGGAAGTTTTTTATTTTTTAGATTTTGGTGTGTTGAGGTTAGGAAACACTTAGTGTGTGTGTGTTTGGACGAGCAGCGAGTTTGATAAAATCGCAGTGACTCGCTGCGATTCTACTATTCTCGCTGCGAATTCAAACATGCAATTAGTTTGCTCTTTTGTTTAGTTTATGCTAATTTAGCTTTTGTAACAACTTGTAGTTGTAGGGTTTGTTAGTTGCTGAATTTAGATGGAATGGTTCTCCAACTAAATTTATATTTGTAAGCTTACTTTGTTTTTTTTACTTCTCATAGAAGATATGTACTGACTTTTATACTTCAGTGTGATGAGTGCAAATGTAATGGTTTGGTTTTGAAGATTTGTGAGTGTTTCAATTCAAAGTTTGAAACTCAACAAAGCTTAATTCAGTTTTAGTTTATCAGCTTGAGATAAAGCAAAGGCATATACTTATCTTTTGTGTGGAAAAATCTTTTTATTTTTCTCTTGTTGAAGCTCCTTACTAAAGCATATTAGTAACTATATTGCTCTCGTACCTTTGAAAAGAAAAAAAAGACATGTCCGGTGGCTTAAATTTGCATTGACACTTGTGATTATATTCAATTTATTTATTTTTTAAATTATTACCGATTTCGGGAGTATATGTGATTCATGATGCTTTAGCTAGGTGTCTTTTGTTTCTGTGCAACTTTCATGACTGCAACTAATTATGTAAGGAGTAGACAGTGTCTCCATACTTAGCAGCAGAAAAATTTAATTCAGAAGATGTACTCTGTACTCTGCTATCCCATGTATGCAAAATTGTACAAGAGCACCTTTGCAATCCATTCTAGGTGTATCTGGTGGGATCCATACTGATATTATCACTTTGAAGCGAAACTTAAAAATTTATTATAGGTCTCAATATTAATATTTTGGGTTAAACATGTTTAAGGTTTTCATAAATATTTCAATTTTCGAGTTTAGATTTTCAATATTTTTTTTAATTAATGGTCTTCTTATAATTTTTCATTTATATATTTGGTCTCTTTTACAAATTAGCGACGGTTTTTACAATTTAGCGGCTGAATTAGCGACGGTTTTAGTATTAGGGATCAAAAATGTGGATGTAAATTTTTAGCATTATTTGAAGAAAATATTTTGAAGAACTAAAAACGAGATTAAGATATTTAGGAGGACAACAACCATATTTATCTCTAATATTTTTTATGCTTCATATTATTTCAATTTAAAATTTAAAATATTAATTATATATTTTTAATTAATATTGATATGAAAAAAAAACTTCTCAATTTTGAACATATTTCCGACCTAAAATTATATAAAAGGTATATGAAATTGTTGATTTACCAACATTGAACAAACTATTTTAGAGTTAGGCGATTGTTTTCAATTGAGGCAAAGTAAGGCGTGTCAATCTTTCTCAAAATTATTGGAGTTTATCGCAATCCTTGGACTAGGTTTAGTTAAAATTTCAGGGAGATTAGATGATTGGATTTTATGATCACATTTCATGTTTGTAGCACCATTAATTAAAAAAGACGAAAATGTTGAAATCACGAGATGAGAATGTTGCACACCTTTATAGAGTCGACGAAATATGTTGAAGAATAGAATTCACTAGCCAAATATGTATCTTAAAAATTGAGAGGTCACCTACTATTTGCATAAATAATCGAATGAAACAATACTTTATAGAAGTTCCTACTATGTTATAGCCAATAAAATAGTTTTTCCCCTATAAAATATTAAATTGTGAAAATTTTAAACAAAATTCAATCAACTTACGAATTTTATCTCTATTTTAATTTTATATATTTTTTAAGTTAATAATTCATTTTTTCTATACAGGTAGTTAACACTCTTTAAAATAATGTATAGTTAAGAGACAAAGTTCTTCTATAATTGTTTGAAAGAAAATATTATATTTGTAAGTTGAGTTTTGGAGGGATCATTTAAAAAAGTGGTTGAGATATGAGTTATTTTGAAAACGAAGGAATGTTATATAGATGATCCTATAAGATTTTAATAATTTTTTTTACTTAATTTTAAAAGTTTATATTTTTTCAGTTTAAAAATAAAGAATATTCTCCTTTCGAAAAATCAAGTTTTTATCTCCTTTTCCTCCAAACACACCTATATAAATTTCATTACTAATGAATTAGTTCATGACCTTGACCTGTAGATACCCTACATTTACCTAATTAAAAGTATAATTTAGAGTTTGATTTTTAATTTGTAGTTGGTAGGGCTAAACCCTACTAATCATAATCTTGCGGCACTCTTGTTTGTCCACAACATTTAATTAAATTAAATTGAACAACTATAGTTTCTTCAGAAAAACAAAAGTGTGTATAGTCAAACTTAGGTCCACCATGGTATAGTGCTATTTTTTCTTTAAATATTTATTTATTAATACCAAAATTGGTATAGTCCTACCAATGTCATCTCACAAAAGAACACTTCCATTTTCGTACAAGTCTTCAAGGCCTTGTTGAACATAATACATTTTTGAATTGAATGTTAGAATTGAGTGATATAAAGATACAAATTATCAAAACTGCCTTAATGGCTTTGATTTATCACAAATCTTCAAACAATAATTAAAGTGTCATATGAAAATGGGAAGTAAAAGATAAGAATATGCCCTTTCTAATCCATTACCAATATTATAACCTTTGAACAAGCTACCATCCATTGATGCCTACAACATAATGTTCATGCCAATAAGAACAAAAACATAATATAGGACCTCCTATCTTAAATCCTTGTCAAAGCAAAATTCATTTGTAGGATTACCGGTAACCCTTTCATGATCCATTTCCTCAATTTTATTCAAAATCTCATTTTATACCATTCAAATAATTCTAACTCGTTGAATCATACGTCTTTTTAAAACCCGCTTTGAACATAATCATCTTTTTCGGTCTTTTTAACTTCATCCACAATTTCATTTGCAACAAGAATATTCAATCCTTCATATGTCAATAAGAACAAAGACTTAGATATATGACCTCCTGTGAGACATTAGATCAAACTCTAGTATGATCGAATGATAGCTTTTTGATTCGGCAATTTGCAAGAATTTTAGCATGTCGTCGAAGTATGTTCACATGTTGTAGTCGAAATATGCTAGGAGTGTTAGCATGTCGATTTGAGCATTAGTTGTAAGCTCAATTGTTTAAATTAACTTGTTTTCTAAGTTAGCTTGTGTAATGAGCATGTGTGTAAATCTCATTAGGTTAGTATGTTAGTTTTCTTATAAATATCGTGATAGTCTCTCATCTTTGGGGTGTGGTACAAATCCTAATTAGGGTGAGAGAGGTTAATTGTTGGTATTCAGTTGTAGTCTTTGAACCCTTATTGAGAAAGTGAATAGAAAAACATATTTAACCGATTCTCTATTCTTCTTGTTCCTTCTTTTCTCTCTTTTGTAAAACCTAATTGGGTTTCTTGTGTTTGTTCAAGAAACTCAATCTTTATCTCATAACTTTGTTATGTTATTGACAACATCGTTTAATAAAAGACGGGTGCGGTGAGCGTGGAAAAGAAGATGTCGTCAATAAAGTAGAGATTGAAAAATTCATCGGTGTGAATGATTTTGGTTTGTGGCGCTTGAAGATACAAGTGCTTCTTGTTCAACAGGGTTTGCTAGAAACGTTGAAAGGATCAGAGAAGATGGATGTTTCTCTGTCGGAGAAGGAGAATACATTTCCGAGTAGCAAGTTCTTCCACTGTATGCAGTTGATAAAGCTGCATAAAGAAAGCTAGTTTGTTCCCTTAATATTCTAGAGTTTGTTGCAAGGTGGAGATTTGTGAGATATTGGATCGAACTCTAGTATGATCGAAGGGTAACTTCTTGGTTCGACAATTTAAAATAATCTTAGCATGTTGTCGAAGTTTGTTCACATGCTGTAGTCAAAGTATGCTAGGAGTGTTAGCATGTCGAATTGGGCCTTGGTTGTAAGCCCAATTGTTTAAGTTAGTTTGTTCCCTAAGTTAGCTTGTGTAATGAGTCTGTGTGTAAAAGTACATTAGGTTAGTATGTTAGTTTTCTTATAAATAGTGATAAGTCCAAACTTTTGAGATTAGCATTAATTTTGTTAAAACTAACTTGACAACAAGATGTTGGACAAGATGTCCTAACATGAAGAACAAATTGAAAAACAAGATATGGACAAGATGTTCTATCATGATGATTTGACATCTTTGTCTGTTACTGTGCAGTTTTGATACTGCTAATTTATTTTTGGATTCCAAAATAATATGGAAATATTTGTTTATCCTAGGCGGGGTTCAAGATTGAGGAATCAGAGATTCTGTTTAATTTGAAGATGCCGTTTTCTAAGTGTGGAGATATTTTAGAAAACTTTGGATTGAAGAAACTATTCTTGAGGAGAATAAGTTGCAGATTCTGTGTAACAAAATTGTTGTATTTTTGAAGCCTAAATCTAGTCTAGTTTATGGTTATAAATAGGATGGATTTAACCTAACTAAAGTATGGAAAATACATTGTTGCTTAGTGAGTTTTAGGGTTTATGTATTTGTGAGCCTCTCTTATATCGTGTTGATACTAGAGGTGGGCCGTTTGCATTGAGTTGTAATTTCTGTCACCGTTGTGATTGAAAGGAAATTGAGAAGGGTCTTATACCTAGGGAAGTCTTAGGTAGAAATTAAGCATGGGTAGCGATTAAGTGGTAAGTTGTAAACCAGATATTGTTTAGCTTACTATCTGGAGAATTTCATTCCTGGCTTGGTAACCCCTAGACGTAGGTGTTTTTGTACACCGAACTGGGTTAACAATTACTGTGTGTTTGTTTACTTTTTGTAATTTTTATTGTGCTCCTTCTTGTCATTGTGTTTAAAACAGAGATCAAGTGTCCCGATATCTCTTACGAC